CTCACGGATTCCTCCAACCCCTGCGTTTATAGATGCGAGCGGGGCCTGATGCCAAGCGGGTGCAGGAATCCCGAAGGATCGTGTGAACGGGAGCAAGGGCCCAGGAGGGGGGCGCAGGCACCTCCGAACAAAACACTCGGATGCTGCCCAAGATGGAAGGAAACCATCTCTCCCAGCAATGCATTCCTCACAACATATCCCTCTTCCCGTTAGCACTCGACTCCTCCGGCATATGGAAGGAGATCTCTTAGCCCGGCGTGTCTTTTCTCACAAAATTGATTCTCCTTTACAATTCCAGGCCAGGCCCTGAGCAGCAATTGGAATTCAGCGAGCAGAGGCCAAGGCGCAGAGCAGAGCCCTGCGCTGCAAAACCCATGCAGGGAATCAGCACTGAGCCCTCGGGCTCCCAAAACCAAGGGCATCAGTGCAGAAACACCGGGCAGTGCAGGAGCACCCGGGACATGAGGAATTAAGCCAGGGTCTCCCACTCACAGCTCGTTTTTACAGCATGATTTTTTCCCGTCCTAATTGCCCATAAAACACTGATGTTGGAGCAGGGCCACGCGGGCAGCCGCCCCTACAGACCCAGCGAGTGCGGGATGGGAGGGCAGCCCCAAACTGGGGTCGGGGCAGCTCTAGCTTGAAGGCTTTTGGGTAATGGTTTTTAAAATACTTAATGCAAAAGACAGAGCTATGATCAAAAGCAGCTGACAAATTGCACAGTGGAAGTACTTTGTTTCCATACCTAAAACAAAGCACTTTGGAAAAATCAGTATAATCACAAATTAGTGCCCCCCTCCTGCCCTTTTGCTTTAAATGTCCCCTCTCCTCTGGCTTGGGGCAAGAGCCTCTTATTAACTTATCTCTATCAGGACACAAGGTGCCACCTTGCTGCATCCTGCCCAGGTGCTCCAATTCCTAGGCCGGTGCTGGAGCTGGAAAGGGAAGAACCTTTCCAAGAGGAAGACCTTGCCCAGCCTCCTGACAAGGCACCCGGGAAGGCTCCCTCCCTGCACGGTCGGAGCGAGATCCCTCCTTCCCCCTGGTGGAAGGGGCCAAGAAGGCCATGGAAAACAAGCGGAAGGGCGGCCTGGATAATCCTTGGCCATTTCTAGCCGCCTTGCATCCAATTCACACGTGGAGGAAAGGCGAAGGAAAGGCTCTCCCGGTGCCCATGCAGCCTCCTGTTCTCATCTGCATGCATGGAGGGATCCCCATTCCCGGCGCGCTTCCCTCTCTCCATCACTTACACCTCCGAGCGCTTAATTTCACCTGCCAGGAATCCCCAAGCTGCAGGGAAAAAGGGGCAAAGTCACTATATGCAAAGCCAACCAACGAGCACCTTGCCAAATCCCGCTTATTTCACCCTTTTCCCGGGATTAGGGGCACAAATCATGCACAAGGCAGCCTGCGGGAGGGGTGGAATTCCACCCTGCTTCCCTGCGCCGCTCCGAGCAGCCTGCGGCCCCGGGCCGGAGGATTTAATAAGCCTGCAAACACAAACACAGGCATTTCCCTTGGTTAATGCTCAGTAATAATAAAAAAAATCTACCTATTACCGCAATGAGGATGTGCAGCTAATTAACTTTCTAGGACTCACAGATGAGCAGGAAGAAGCATATTAAGAAAGGGCCCTTCTCCTGGGCATGCCTCCCAGGAACTGGCAAATTGCATAAGAGGAGCCTTTATTCTGGTTATAAATTAAGACCCGCGCCAAGACCCAGCGCGGCACAAAACCATCGGCCCATCACCGGCAGCTCGGCCGGGC